TCTGTGATGATTTTTCATTAGATTACTCGAGAATTTGTGCTAAAAATTTAGTGTTTTTTTGTGGGTGAGTGTATTATAGAATAATTTTAAATGCATAACATCTTACCTCACACTGAAGTATTCCAATGAAAGGATGAGAAAAGATTCGATTTGTCTGAATATTTAATTCATTACCACAGGCAGTACACTTTATTTGTCTATCTTTGATAATTCTAATATCTAAATGTAAAGTGCAAGTAGAGTTTTATATTACTGGAGATATAAAAGATCTTTATAAATAAAACTATGTAAAGAAATGTTAAGGTAGTACATTCGCAACAATATCATCCAAAAATGAGCATCGTGTGCTCATTGGTGATACCCTCATTCCCATTGATAAGAGAAAACTTTTGATTGATTACGTTCAACAGACTCAATTGTTGAGGAACGAATCTTAAGAGAGCGCTTGCTGCTATTGAATGTTCCAAATTGAATGTCAGCTGAACGCGATTGCACCTGTTCAAAGTTTGCAAGCACACGTGAAAAGAAAATGAATACAGACAGACGCAAGCTACTGGCTAATGCTGATGTTGCCAGATACATTGGTCGTTTCCTCCACTTCCTCTATATAACGAACAAAGCCGAAAATTGCGTTCTTTTCATGGCTCTATTTTCCGAATTGTACGATAAAGAATCATAAAATTTTTTCACAATATTCGTTTCATATTTCTTTATCACATGCTCATTTTTTATTAACATTTTACTGTTAGTTTAGACCCTACACAAATAAATGTGACATTTTCATGAACATTGTGTAGACAAGTATAAAAAATTATTTATATCTCAGTATTGAGATATCACGATCAATCTCATTGTTGCACAAAGTGTCAAAATCTTCTTCTAATACAATATATAATTTCAATTTAATTTCAACAAAAGAAATTCTGACTGTTTTCAATTAGCGAGTATACTACCTTAACATCTATAATTATCTATAATTTTTCTTTTTATCTTTGATATGTATCAGTACCTTTTGAATTACTTTATATTAATATATATATATATA